CATACCTGTGGAGGTTTGGAGATGTCAGGGAGAGAGGGCAGTGGACTGGATAGTGGTAGGATGCCTGAGGGATGGACAAGTAGCATACAAGTCCTGATTTCAATAACAAGAGTAATGTGCAGAGCTGTCCTAAGTACAGATTGGTAAAGCTGAAAATACCATGAAAATATGGAAGAGAGTTGTTGAAGCTAGGCTGAGAGGAGATGTGGCAGCAAGGACCCGTTCAGCTTCATACAGAGAGCACTACAGATGCAATATTTTATTTCTTTAGAGTTTTGATGGAGAAGTATAGAGCAGGTAAGATGGAGCTGCACTGTGTGTTTGTGGCTCTGAAGAAAGCATAAGACGCAGTGTGAAGAGGCACACAGGAGTGGTAGGGAAGGTGTGCAGTATTAGTGTAAGATGGGTTCAAGGTGGGGATTGCATTAGGGATCTACAGTCCACAGAGGCCAGGCAGCAGTCTCTGTGGACTATGATGTTATGAGAGAACGGAGAGCAGATGGAAGGTAACCTGGAGATGTGGAGGTATGCTCTGGAGAGAAGAATGAGTGTGAGAGAGAGAGAGAGAGAGAGAGAGAGAGAGTGAGAGAGATTGTGAGGAAGACAAGTGATCCTGCAAGGAGCAGAGGTACTATAGGTAAATGAGTTTAAATAATTGGGATAAACACCCCACAGTGTATGAGAGGTGAAGAAGAGAGTCAAGGCAGGGTGGAGTGAGTGGAAATGAGTGTCAGGGGTGATTTGTGAGAGACACATGGCAGCAAGAGAGCAAGGTTTAGATGGTAAGGAGACCTCTTATGATATATGACTTGTAGAGGGAGGCACCTACTAAAAAAAGCAGGAGGTGCAGCTGTTTTCATTATCAGTGACCAGCATGGACAAGAACAGAAAAGAATACATCAGAGGGACAGCTTAGGTTGAGCTTTTGGAAACAAAGTAGGCTGAGATGGTGTCAGAGATGTTAAGGAGGAGGAGAGTAGATACATTGGACAAAGGATGTATAATATGCTGCTGCCAGGCAGGAAGAAAAGACAGAGAGGAGAATCATGGATGTAGTGAAGGAGGACATGCAGAGGGTTGGTGTGAGAGAGGAGGATACTAAGTGAGAAGGAGGCAGATGGCGACTGTGACGACGTCAAAGTAGAGGAGCAGAGAAAAAGAAGAAATATGTGGGAAGGATATGGAATGAGGAATGATTGGATTCAAGTTATATGTAGGTTTTGCTGTTTTATGTTTTTTAGGGATCAATTTTTTTTAGGATACTATATTTATCTTAGTCGGCTCCTAAATATCAAAGAATGATCTTCCTTCCTCTCAGAGATCTTCCTTCTTATTTGCACCAGGACCCATCTGAACCCATCACAATCAGTGGACTTTTTGTATATGAAAAAAAGTGATGAAAAAAATGTTCAAATTATAAGTCTTCAAAATACATATAGATGGTTGGATGTTTTACTTCATTATTTTCCAGCTTTTTTGAGCCTTCATAAATACAACATGCAGCCATAAATATATTTCTGAATGCCCATAAGTACAATAACTAGCCACATGAAACCTTCAGGGTTGAAAAACACAGATCTCAGCTATACAGTCATTACAAGCTTGTTTCAACCAAACTGAAAACCTGCAGATTTCAGGTAAAGAAAATGTAACCATTGTGCAAATCAGAAATATTACTGTCATGACAACGCATGGTTCCCTGTAATAGTTCTGAATGTTAAGAATGAAGATGTCTATTTAGATTTCATAAAGCTGAAATTGTTTTGTTTTTTTCCTGACAAATACTGGGTTCCACATTGTGACTGTTGTTTACAGGGCACAGGGTAGTTTTTGTCTCATTCCCATCCACTGCTGACTTTCCCTGAACCTGCTAGAACCTCTACATGTACAAAGGGTCCGTGATTTGTTGTAATTGATTTGTTGACATTGTGAGGTCTCCTACAAGTGCAAAGAATTTGATATAAACTCAAAAGTATCACATATTTTCCAGAACCTCCATCCAAGTTAGTGCTACTCATGACAATCAAGAGACCTGTTGCAGAAAAACTGTCTTCATAATTAAAACTAGTCTCTCTTATTTGAAGTTGAACATTGTAGGAGAATTTTACAGAACGCTCTTGCTCTTTGTGAGGACACGATGTATCAGTTTTTTCTTTAGAGCAGTAGAATAGCAATGTATGAAAGTAAAAGAGCAGCTGTTCAATTTTTGATGGTGGACTCAGCTATATTTTTGAAAAAATCTGAATGACTTTTAGATGCCCATTCATTTTAATAATGTCCTCCAGATATTTTATTTTTAGACTTGAAATGAACTGCAGACATCATCCTATCAATTAAAGGTGAAATATTCTAATGCAGAGTGTAGTCTGAAACACTATATGTATACTCCTTTCTATTGTTCTTGTATAGCTGATAATTTTATCGTGGACTGCAAACTACATTAAATGTGTTTAAATGACCAAAAGTTCTCACATCTTCATTCTCTTGTGGTTATTGTAATAATTTCAAGTAAAAAGAGGGAGGAGATAATTGAATTGACCGCTCAAGAAGATGGTGGAAGGGCTGCAAAGAGAGGGTGCAGATGATGCTGGGTGCCAACCTGGATGTATGTCTTCATGTGTCAGGCTCAGGCAGGGAGAGGCTCTGTGTGCTATACACAGTATAAAACTATGATTTCATCCAGGGTTCATCGTAAGTAACAAACAACACAACCAGTCTTTGTTCACTGTCAAGCAAACACTGATGTGCTGCTGATGTTTTCCTTTTATTTCTTCAGATGTTTTTGTTTCCTCGTTTGTATTCTGCTTTTGTTCCAACAGCTACAGATGAGGACAAAATTATTAGTTGCACTATGAAAATTTTAAAAGTATTCCCCAAGAGCTGTTAAACAGAGCATGGTATTTGTAACACAACTTTTTCAAAGGTCTTATTATGGATGCTTACATTAGTTTAGAAACAAAACTGCCAGGGTCAAAATGATTAGCCCTCCTGATGCTAATAGTCAGTTGTGTATTGTTTTTGCTGGATAACAGTCTGCAGTCATTTGTTGTAGTTCTCAGCAAGTCTCACATGTCACCTGATCATTCTTCTTTGACAAATTGCCTCCAGGTTTGATGGTCTCCTGGCATGAACCTTGGTCTTCACTTCACCTGACAGATTTTTTAATAGGGTTCAAATCAGGGCTTTGAGCAAGCCAGTCAATAATTCCCTTTGGTCATCTGGAGATCGTTCTTCATCAGGAGGGATGCATGTTTTAAGTTTTCATCATGCTGGCCAGAACCAGTTTTGTTGCTGACTGCTTGAGGTGTTTTTTCAAATCTTCACACATCTTTCTTTCTTCATTAGCCCTTCTGCCTTCATAAGATTCCCAGTTCCAGATGAACTGATGCAGCCCAACGAATAATACCTCCACCACTGTGCTTCGCTGTGGGGACAATGTTCTTTGGGTTGTACACCTCACCCTTCTTTCTCTGAACATAAGCAGCATCTTTATGGCCAACGAACTCTAGTTTAATCTCAAAAGAAAAAGAAACACCTCCAGTCTGCATAATCTTTCTCCAGGTTGTCCTTAGCTTATCATCTTCTTTGAGACTACAATTAATCACCAGCTAAGTCATTCACTAGTGTTATTGCATTTATTCTGTGGTCTTTAGACACATCTCTCTTTGAATCTTGAATCTTTCTCAATTGAGAGCTCAAACCTTTGGTGAAGTTTTTATACTATGCATAAATTAGAAGACAACCCTCAGTTTTAACTTGATGTTACAAGTTTTGTTATGGTTCATGGGGAGTGGACACAGTGTTAAGAATTTTGTAGGTTCATGATTTATTTTTAGGTTTTTGATGTGATTTGTAGGTTCTAGTTCTCTGTTATTTAGTCTTGAGAATAGTATTATTTCCCATTGCTTCTGAGTTTTGTCATTTATCTGTCTGGTTATTAGTTCCTTGGTTTGATGCTGTTATTTCCCTTTCGTGTCCAGTCAGTCTTAGGCTTGTCTCTGTGTTTTGTCCCTAGCTTCCCTTGTATTGCCAAGACAGCAGATAATCAGATGCATGGGTGCTAGAATATAATTTGACGAGTTTATTATCCAAAGAAAACATAGGAAAACTTGGAACAATGAGCATGGGGAAACGGGCAGGCTGGCAACTGAGCAAAAGACACAAGATTAAATTAGAAGGTGGGGCAATGGGGCCCAGTGACCAGGCAGCCAGATCAGAGAAGATGGAGAGTTTAATTCATGGAGTGAGACAATCTTTACGAGGAACAACAGAAGATTTAGTCGCAGAAATATTCACGATGGCCGAATGGTGGCCTGACAACACATTAGTAGCTAACCTCTTGTGTTATTATCTAAACAGTTAACAGTCATCTTGTGCAGCTCTGAGCAGCTTCTGTACTCCTGCTATTTTATTTTTTTTTGCTCAGTTGCTCTTTGTTCTAGATCTCTACTTATCTTTCATCTAAAAGTAAGATAATATACATATATTTGGCAAATTATTTTATTCAAGCAGCTGAAATTTAATAAAAGTGACTAACTGTAAAGACTGACCCGACACAATGGTATGTTATTCACGTTTGAGAGTGTTAATTGCAATATCACACGTGTGACGTCTTTATGGTTCGACATCCGGGCCGCCAACTTTCGATATAAGAGAAGAACAATGCTCCTGAACTGCCTTTAGGTTTGGACATGAGACTCCACTGATGTTGGCTGGTCTGCTCTGGTCTGCACTGAACAAGTGCAAGTGTTTAGAACACAAGAAGACTACACTGAAGGGAAGATTGTCCAGTTTTAAATCAGGTAAGATTATTGCTGGTGAGATAACAGTTACTGTAAACTGTGAACAATGCAAAC